TACAAAAATGCGATTGACTCGTTTTTCAAAGGCTATCTATAAAAATCTACCAAGAATCTGAAATATGAGAATTTTTATACCAGTTGAAGTTTTTATCACTGCTTTTACCCAAGGATTTTCATGACATTAAGGCGCTATGTAATTTTACAGCGGTCTTAAATGTTCACTCATGCGTCTTATTTGGTAGTCGGCTGAGTTACCCCCTTGCTCTTTATAAAACAATGTTCAAGCAACCGAGTTGATTTTAATTCTATCATGAGGGTGAGTAAAAATAGGTCGATTATTGGATTTATCCCTTGTATAGGTGAATAAATTTATTGATTTTAACTAATATTAAGAGTTTTATAAGTTTGTTTTGTTGTGTAATGCTTGTCATAGTAAATCGAGACCAACATCGGTCGCGTATCAGGCCCAGAAAGCTGAACACTTGACGGTTGTCGGATCTGAGGCTAAATAAACGTAGCACAATTTTAATGAGCTTCATTTGAACTATTAAAGCTATTTAGAAAACTATCACCTACAGTGGTTCATTAATCCAGATAGCAGAGACATTTGTGTTTATATAGGCACTTTACGTTTTAATGATATACCAACTGTGTATATATATATACACTCGGCGTCAAAAAAATCGCACCTTTCATAAAATTCGCGTCAAGCGATTATTACTCCGAAGATCCTTCCTGTACCCTATCATTATTAGTATCATTTGAAAGCTAATGAAATCCCTTATTTGAAAACGGTAGGAAATTGGCCACCACCCCCATAAAAAAAGAAAATTCTGGGAAAATGTGAAACAATGTGTATTCTGATCAAAATTACAAAGAAACGGAACAATACAAAAATTAAAAATAAACAATAACAATCCTTAAAAATTAGTCTTAAAACTTAGTGTTGCCTCCTCTAGCCCTCCGACCAGCTTCCAAGCGGTCAGTCATGGACCTGATGAGCGTCACGACGTGTTCCTGGGGAATGTTGTCCCACTCCTCGATGACGGCATCTCGAAACTCATCGAGAGTGGCAGGAGCTGGATTACGGGCCCAAGCTCGCCGTTTCAGCTCGTCCCAGAGGTGCTCGATAGGATTGAGGTCGGGGCTTCTTGCTGGCCAGTCCATAACCTTGATGTCAACTCGACGTAGGTAGTCCTTGACAATCAAGGCTGTTTGGCGCCGGGCGTAGTCGTGCATGAACTCGAAGTTGGCACCGACAAAACCTGCACATGGGACCACATGCTCCTCCAAAATCTCGGTGATATACCGGTAGACAGTCAAAAACCCCTGGCCGCGACCATCTCCAGCTCTGGAAACGCACACGAGGTCTGTCTTGCCGTCGATAGAAATGCCGCCTTAGAACATACAGGATCCTCCTCCATACCCGACGGTTTCCACGGTGCAGCGTGGTGTGAAACGCTCCCCTGGTCGCCTGTAGACTCTCTTACGCAAGTCGTTGGTGTACAGGCACACTCGGGTTTCGTCGGAGAACAGGACATTCCTCCACTGGTCGAATGTCCACGGCACGTGCGTTTCCTAAAATCGCTTAATGTTCGTCCGGTGGATGGCAGTCAATTGGGGGCCTGTAGCAGCTTTCCGGGGCAAATTCTTCTCACACAGCCTTCTTCTGATAGTGGAGACGCTGTCTGCTGTCATTCGAGTAGCTTGAAGCCGCTGCTGCAGCTCCACAGCGTTGGAGAAGCGGTTCCGCAAAGACGTCGACACAATGTAGCGATCATCTCTGACGGTAGTGCAGCGATGTCTCCCGGATCCATGTCTCCTGATGTAACCTCCAGTCTCTTGGAACCGTTGGTATACCTGTTGCACTCGAAATCGGCTGATTTTCAGTTGCCGAGCAACTTCAACCTGCCGTAGTCCGGTTTGCAGTAGGGCCACCACTTGAGCTGCTTCTTCTGCCATGGTATCCATTTTCACTGGGTTTTTTCTTGTCGAAGCTCTTCAGGTGTGACCTCTGTGACGTCTGAATAGCGAATAACCCATAATTGACTTTTACCCCCTCGTTTTATATGCGTCCAGGGTGGTACAATTAGTGAGCCTCCAAATGCGTACATCGCCACTTTTTAATCAAAGTGCTGGCGATTTGTGGTTTTTAATTTTCCGTATACAAATGCTGCAAACGCAAATTTTTTTTGAAAGGTTATTAGTTGAGCTTTTAAATGATACTAATAATGATAGGGTACAGGAAGTATCTTAGAAGTTATAATCGCTTGACAAGAATTTTAAGAAAGGTGCGATTTTTTTGACGCCAAGTGTATATTATATACGTATATATATATATATATATATATATATATAATACTTATGAATGTAAAGAGTGACTGCATAGGTATGTCCTTAACTTATTGCTAAAAAAAATATTCGATTTAGAATTAACACCTATACAAAATATAGTTTAATGAGCTATGAATAATATATAAATTTGAAGACGTAGTTTTATGTTTTTTACACTCCATAATCAGACTTGAGAAAAAAAAGAACTCAGAAAAAAATAAAAACATAAAATGTAATTCATGAAGCTACGCAATCCTCGGATCAAAGAATTGTGCTGAAATTGAATTTATTTGAATATAAAAAATAGTAGGTACTTATAAATGTAAATGTTATGTCCCAAACGTATTGCTTAAAAAATATTCAATTAAAAGTCCAATTACCAAAAACAGTTTAATATTTTTAATGAGCTATAAACAATTGGGAATCGTCAATGTAATTTAAGTATACGATATTGATCGTCACCGTTAAAGATTGATTTGAACTTGGCCGTCTATTAAAACTGATTAAAGATCATGTTCTCTTAATTTTTGACTGTTTAAGACTTCATTGCATTGCCTTGGCATACTCTTTACATGGAGTAGAAGTAGAAGGGCTTCGATGCCCGGGTAGATAAATAATAATTTCTAGCACAAAGTTATGCCCCGAATGGAGGCTTACGGGATGTCTGGGAACGACAAGTTTCCTATTGTTTTACCATACCCATCCGATGGGAGCATTTTTTAAAACAGGTGCGCCAGAGTTTCTAGTACGTATTAGGTACATAGGTTTTGTGTTTGAAGATGTCATTTAATACAGTAAATTATATATTAATAAATCGTTAGTAGTCATATAATAAAGAAATCTAATGGAACAATAGCAAAATTCAGAAGCCATAGAAAACGTCTATTTCATTAAATTTCAAGTGATCTACTGTCAGTCATTCAATTGATACTGTTTATTAAAAAAGTCACTTACTCGAAACCCAGAAACAATTATCTCTAATTAACTGATTAAACATCTTAGTTGTAAAATTTTAAATCAAACAATTCGAAATTTATATTTTGTTGTACATCCGTTTTGATTTATTATATATGCGTGTTCCCACAGTTAGGACCTACGTCGTTTACGTATATATTATGTAAATTTGTGACCAACGTATGTAAAACCATGGGACACAACCATTTATCAACACACGCATGGTACAACACACATAGTAGAAAGACAATTAAAAACGAATTAATATTAATAATCTTTACTTGTCCTTGCTGCACATTAACCGGATACTTTGACTCATCGAGTAATAAGAAACATTAAGATGACTCACTGAAAGAAATCATATATTTCAAGGCTAAAAATTTCTTTGAAGAAATTAATCCCCAAATCGATTTTAAAATGCATCTTTTTAAATGATATTAATTAAAAATATTAGTACGTGAAAATTTCTTCATTATTTTTCTTATTGAAATAAACGAAGCTGATCCATAGAAAAATCTTATTATACTCACCTCTAACAAATTACCACTTTCGTGTTTGCGTTTGTAAAAAATCCAGATTAACACAACACTATTTTAAAACATAAATTATCACTACACATGTTCACTTTGTCATAATTAGTGCGGTGTCAAGTAATTAAGTATCAAATAAAACCGGTTTTTAACATAGCGACAAATGCGTTCCACCTTCGATCATTCAGGCTACAGTGAGGCGAGCTGTAGCCTACAGGAAGACCTCGGCCAGGAGTCGTTGAGCGCCATAAATAGAAATAAAGGAATATCTCCTCTCTCTGTCCATCGCCATCCAGAGCCATGAGAATGAATGGGATGGTTATACCTTGCGCTTCCAAACCCGGATTACGAAGTTTCCCGAGGTTACCCGACACTCGTATCATTGGAAAAAGCTCAATGGTTTGAAGACGATACGAATCATAGATTTTATTTTTAAAGGACAATAATGCTAGACGTAGAAATGTATTAAATTATCTTTTAATATGGTGAAATTTCACAAGTTCGCTTTCTATTTATAAAGTATTGATCGAGAGAGTAGCAATATGTTTTAATGTATATGTAGACGTTAAAAGTTCGTAGAGCATTCGTAGCTCGTAGGTGATGCTTACAAACTTTTAAGCTTTCACTTTGTTCAGGCCTAGCTGAAATTATCTACTTTAATTTCGTAGATTACAGAATGCAGTGTTAAGATGAAGAACTCTTCTGAATTAAGATAGTAAATATATACCTATAGGTAATTTTAACAAATTCTTTTAATCTAAAATAGGTATCAAGTTTGCGTGAAAATTACTGTCTAATACACCCAATCATTTCTCAAAGTTTAAAAATCTCCTGAGGTACACACCTCGTCAAAAATTTATGCTAGTTGCTTAGCTACTCCCTCGTATTCCAGGATAGCGTGGGTGATCGTTTTTATTGGCAGATTTCTTTTAACAAGTGAGCCCGTCTAGGTGAATATATTTTTAATTAAATTACAGACTATTAATGGAGTAACGAGAAAAATAGAAACAATGTACCTACACCAGAACGTATTAGAAAGCAATGTTTTATTTGGAAATTATATTTTTGTTACTGTGAATCTGATTTATTATGTATACCTAGCATTTATATCACTGTAATCTTTCCAAATGATATATAAATAGATAGCCTATCTTTATCGATTATTATATCTAATGTCGATTTTGTACTATTAATTCATATGCAAACCTAATAGTCAAGTGAAAAGTTACTTCAAAGTATGTCCAAAATATCTGTACATTACTTTAATGAAAGAGGACTTGGAGAAGCAATACGTACATTGCTCGCGTATGGCGGAGAGGATTTTGACGATATCCGATATACAGATGAAGAATGGGAGAAATTTCAACCGTGTAAGTATGTAAAATGGAACCTAAATATGTACATAGTATTAAAACAGTGAACATAAAATTGTAAGCATGCAAACCCTAAACCTAGAGAATCAAGTATTGTTTTCTATTTACATTCACGTATCTCTTAAGAACTATATCCGTCGATATTATATGATATGTCCATCAAAACTAAGGTTACTTTTGTTTACTTGTTGAAGACGTGGGACCAGCTAATACAATAACATTTATTGTGATAATTCCGCTTTTGACAGATTTTAATATTTATCTATTTAAAGAAAAAACTTTTTAACTGGATTAAAGTTATGTATTTTTATAAATTTACAACTATTTAACATATATTTAAATTTATCCGACGTTTCGCGTGCTTTACAGCGTGCGTGGTCACGGTATAGTTGTAAATTTATAAAAATACTATACTTTGATATTAGTACGCTCTTTTCTTAAAACCTTACCTTATATTTGTTATAAAATACCATGACTGGCTACTATAGAAGTGGTGTTAGGCAAACAGTCAACTTAAAACGTTTAGTTGTGTTAAGTATTAAATTCAGCTTCAAATAACTTTTTACTTGGAAACATTGGAGGAAGTTAAATTAAATTAGTAAATACTACGCTATAGTAAACTGCCTTAGAGCAAGATTTAGATTTGAGACGTCGAGTCGAAAACGAATTAGTAGCCAATTCTTTTCGTTTGTTCTTCGCCCTTGAGAACTGGCAGTACCTAAATGTAAAATTAAAAGCATTTAATATGTTTTTTTTATTGACGTTCATAAGTATACATTGTGTCATCTTAATGAATAAAAAAAACGCTAAGTACGACTCTCGTATGTCAAGAACATATTGGATTTTGAGATACGGTAGTAGGTATCGCGCTTAGTCTTAATGAGTCCCTGAGATCGTGCCTTGGGAAGCACTGTTTTTTTATGCGAAGTAAAACTTCAACATTGGTAAAGTACGGGTCTTCATATAGTGTAATCTTCTGTTCTAGCAACGCCATTCGGTCAATTACCACTATTGGTAATAAGTGGTAAAATATACAGTCAGAGCAATGCAATCGCTCGATATCTTGGACGGAAATATGGTCTTGCTGGACAAGATGTCGACGAAGAGTTCGAGATTGATCAAAATGTTGACTATTTCACCGAATTACGTACAGGTTTGCCATTTCCATTTAATATTTTGTCATGTTCTAATTAAAGAATTTACAAAAACAATCAATCTATGTCAAAATATACTATAATTACTTAAACTTGTGTAAAAAGACTTTAATTATTTCTTATAATTAATATAATTACGAAGTTATGTAATCTATTTTTCGACACATTGCTCTACGACCAGTACTTACTAGCTGTGCACTGCGGTTTCACCCGCGTTAATTCAGCCTTAGTGTGATGTTGTTATAGCATATGTTTTTCTCATTAAATAAACTATTTAAAGTCAATACATTAAAGATTTTTCGGTTTTAAACCTTATTCATTTATTTTGGGATAATTCCAGACCTAACAATACCGAACATAACATATTTATCCAGTTTGGTGCACTCGTTCCAAAGTTATGGGCGTACATACATTCGTATATCAATCAACATTACTTACACATGTTGGCACAACCCAGTGTAGTTATCCATCCATGTTATCATTGGATTAGACAGCTTGAGGCTACGTAATTTCCTTTTCATCACCTCAGAGGTACCTCAGTCAAGCTCAAAGGTCAACATATTATATAATCACTTGTACAAATAAGTGGTATTTCCAAGTTTATTGTCTTTTTTAATTCAACCATTTTTATTACTTACAAACCGATTAAACTGTTTATTTTACTTAGAGTCCCGTGAAGCAAGCTAGCTTTTAAAATTATTTAAAAGAATTTTATTTAGTTTCGGCGGACTCATTCTATGAAGAAGATCCAGAGATTAGAAGTAAGCTACTAGAAAAACTATTTAAGGACAAAGCACCTCGTATGCTGACGAAATTGGATGAAATTATTAGCAAAAATAATGGACACATTGCTTTGGGAAAGGTAAGAACGATACTTAATAATTAGGTAGATATAGATTACATCAAATTCTAGGAAAACCTTATATATTTAAATTTACTGTCAATTCTGCCAGATCAAATTATGAGCGGTTTTAGTCCAGTGGCTAAGGATCGTTAATTCGAACCCTTTCTGTGCACCAGTTAGACCGGGAGTTAGTGACACAAAATATTGGGTCATTTGTACGAGTATGGCGGTTCTTCAGGGGTCTTATTATGCAATGAAAAAAAGAAAAATTATGGTGATAGCGCTGGTACCGGCGGCCCAATCGCGTGATCGTTAGTAGAACTCAGCGGATTAATTACGAGTGTCAAACGATTTGTTCCACAAAAATTATACTATTTCCCGATAGTCCAGAAAAAAAATAAGAGGCGGTAGTAGGGATGTGAAAAAAATCGATTAAAATCGATTTTTTTAAAAGTAAAAATCGATTTTTTACGCGATTTTTATATTTAAAATAATCGATTAATAATCGATTATTTTTATAATTGAAAATCAACCATAATCGATTTTTTATCTGCCACCTCCCGACATTATGTCTGGTCTTTTATAACCCGGACCTCGAACTATTAGGGATATTCGATACACAACGATGTTTACAATGCGATACATTGAATCGGATTCTTTGAAGATGTATTGATATACTCGATACATTGATTTTTTTTTGTAAACATCAAAAGGATGATAAAAGCAGTTAATTTTACAAAAACTCAAGTTTGGATGGAACACTATAATTTAAAAGTAAAATAAATTTATTCAGCAGCACAAGACTACATACAATTAAAAAGACAACAAAAATACTGCAATGTGCTACTGAAAAGGATTACACTCAGAATTTATCAAAATCTATCAAAACGAGATTAAGTTAATTTCGATTTTGATTATTCTTAAACGTTAATTTGTGTTTATAATTTCTATTTTTTATTTTTAATTTAAAAAACCATGAAAAATAAAATACTTAGGGTGTTTATTTTGAAATTAATTCAAAAATTAGGAAAAAATCGATTAATAAAAAAAAATCGATTATTTTTTTAAGAAAAATCGATTATTTATTAATCGATTATTTTTTTAGCATGAATAATCGATTAATAAAAAAATCGATTTTTTATGCAGAATGTCACATCCCTAGGCGGTAGTGTCATGCCATAATTCTCCGGTGTGACTTACAGCCATACCGACGCGAATGCGTTAATTTAGAAAAAAAATCAACCATTTGTACCAGGCAAATAATTGCACAGTTAATCATCGTCGTGCAGCCATTTACGTAAATCACCATGCCATACTTTACTGACGGTTCCAAATGGCCGCCATACTGCCGACAATCAGCAATTTTTTTTTGCCAAACGATTTGTACCAGTATTGCATTTGGATTTTTGGAAAGAATATGATAAAATGTGACCGTTATTATATTTCAAAGCATTAGAATGTTATCACTTATAGCATTTATAAATGATAACATTCTAATGCTTTGGATGATGTAAAACCTAATTACAAATGCTTCACAGCATCAGCTATTTATATATTTATTTTCAGTTGACGTGGGGCGACTTTGTCATCGCAGGAGTATTTGATTATATAAAATATATATTAAACTTACCGGACATAGAAGCAAAATATCCAAGCTTTAAAAAACTGGTAGATAACGTAAATTCTAATCCTAATGTACAAATCTTTTCACGCACGGGAACCAAAATCTGATAGGTAGGATAAAGATTTCATAAAACAATATTTTATTTTTTTATTTTCCACAAAAATTCTCTATCCACCTTCTTGACTAAGTGGTGAATGCAATTAGCTAATATTACTTATTGTTATATGAATAAAACGGATGTAGAAATGTGACTACTAAAAATATAATTCTGAATGTTAACATTTTTTTTAATTGTATCAATCTGGTATTGAGGTTTCATCAAATTGTAACATAAGAAAGTGTTCCATTTTCCAAATTTAAAACTATCCAGATATGTCCAGTGCTATTTAAATAAAACACTTGTTTTAATTTATTATATAATCAATTTGTAAAAATTACAAAAACGGTGGTTGATGCTAAACAGTTAATGTTAACAATGCAAGTGTAATGACTTTTATACAGTGTTCCATATATTAAATAATAATTAAAATGATTATAATTATTTGCTAATTAGTTGGTAACAGTCTGCAGAGCAGAGGTCAACAGTTTAATTATAAGCAAAACATTATAAGTTGAATGATTGTCAGCTATGAGATTCCTATTCAACAACAGGCACACAAATCAGTCTACACAATTTGGGCGAAACTAAAACTAAAAATTACATTGTAATATACAAAGGCAGTAATCGGACGGAATTTGTACCAAAATCTTAAACTTTCCTAGAAATATTTGAAAAAACATAGGTGTTATTAATTATGTACATATACATAATAATTACTCTTATAACAATTGGACGGATTTAGTAAAAATCTTAATCTTAACCTGTAAAGGTTGTCTATTATTTGAGATTCATAAATCAAAAAGAAAAATTATCTATACTCTGGGAAAAATCTTCCAATATTTACTGCTTTAATAGCAGTCACATTAATGAATACATTAAAGCTTGGTAGATCTTTATGTTATTAGAACAAAACTTATGGATCAAGAAAAGTAGACCAATATGCAAGTTATTAATGAAATCACAGGTAACAAAGATGACTTAATACCACTTGTACCATTACATTCATCAGATGAGCAATAGCAGTCTTCCCAATAGACTCCATTATCATATACACCCCAGTTACATACACCAGTTACTCCGGTCTCAGCAACGGAAGCACAACGACGTATTACCTGTCTCCATCTCCCATCCCCTGAAATTATGAAAGTAATAATTACATTTTGTTTTTTAAAGAACTATATGTTCAAATAATTATACAACATGCTTATTTTTTAATAATTAACAAATTATTATATATATGATTTTAATGAAAACATCTATTATACCGATAAGTAAAAACATAATTGGCAAGTTGGCATAAGTTATAACACTTTAAAATGATATAATAATTGTTAAAATGTTTATTTATGTTTTGATACTATTTGTGTTAAATTCTAACCTATAGAATTTTCTTGGCTTTATAAATAAGGCAATGAGCCGGTAGCACTTGTAACACTTACTGTTGTAGAACATGTAAATAATCACGACTCCTCATTATTTACTCATCAGGTAGTCATCATTAGATAGTCTATGGGTTATCTTTCAGTTTCTAGCATGCATTGTGCCCAAGCTCATTAAAGTCTTTTATTATTGTGAAATGAACTTTTATGAAACATAATACTTTTATTCAACAGTATTTAACTTTTATAAACAATAGTATAAAACATTTTTTTTTAATATTTTAAACTACAATATAAATTATATATGCAATCTAATTAATCTAAAAGTCAATATAATTAGAAAGCAAATGAAGAATGTCTTAATCACTAGTTGGTTGGTAGTAGTTGGTTTTGGGTGTGGCATTTGGCGTAACTGCTTTTTATAATATAGGTAACTTACAAATGAACCCTTTCGGGCCTTGGTGAGTTCGTTTCATACAAAATGACCCAGGCATGTGAGATTCATCACTGTTGCACTCCACAGCTATGTGGCTATCTGTATCAAACTTTTTATAAGCCCCACAAGTATCTTCCTTAAGATTTTGCGAAGATGCACACTGATAACATCTTACGCATAAAACTGAAAAGTATTTAATGTTTTTAATCTCATACTGTGAAACAATTACTTTCGCTAAGTTTTGAAATCTTTAATCTCATTGAATTACCTGCTGCAGGTAAACTGCACACCATGATAGTTAATATCGTGTTTTTTAACATCATTCATCAGTATTCTTCGCTTATTCTTAATGATGTAATAAAATGTTTTTAGTCAACTGAAATCAATCACAAATAAAGTAATTTCACTAAACGTCTAAAAATTTGAAATTGTTTGGCTGCTCTAGTAGAATTGAACACGAACTTATTAGTCAAAACTCAAAACTCATGTTTTGAATTAAGGCTTATCGACATTTACGCACAGACTAATTTCAAGCAAGTAGACTCAACTCGTGATACTTGCTACTTTATAAGTAATCTGTGATGCTTCTGTCTTGTGTAGTCACTAGTCTGTATTATAAATTATAATTCAAGTTTTGTTGACCTAAAGGTTGTACATGCCAGGTCATAAAATCCCAAAAAAAAAATCAAGTTTTAAACGAATAACTTTGAGTACAAGTATGATTTAAGATTTTATAAAACTATTCTCAGTAAAAACTTTTGTGTTTTAAAACATTAATTTATTTTTCTTGGAAAAGATGGTTATGTCTTTGAAGGTCTTGTTATGCACTTTCATAACTCTTAATTTTATTTCAACAGGTAAGATTGCTCAATTTATGTGAGGGTCACGCCCAGAAGCGGCATTATTTTGTTATGTATTTACGTCGGTTGATTTGACTAAAACGTGTCTGTAAGGTTTGAAGTTCTCTTATAATAAAGGTATTATGACTTATTATTCTGTACATTCTTGCAAATTAATAAAAAAAATATTTTCATTTTTCAGTACTTTGCATCAAATGTTGGAACTGCAGATCTAGTAATGACCCAAAATGTGCGGATCCATTTGATAATTCTACCGTGCCTATAACAGACTGCAAACAAGAAAAAGGGCTAAGACATTTACCAGGATTAAGGCCATCTATGTGTCGTAAAATAAGACAGAAAGGTATGATAATATTCAAATATATTACTTTGTATAATAACGCAAGTGTGTATATAGTTTTTCATGTTAGGTTTGAAATACAATATGTTTTCACACCTTTAATTGTGTACTTAAGAAAGGTAAAATTTAATATCAGACAGAGGATAGTTTATGTGTATTAAACAAACTGTAGAATGTTACAAATAACATTGTGTGCTGTGTATGACCCTTTTAAAATTCATCTATCAAGTATCTCTTTATAAGCTATAGCTAGTACTAAAATTAAAAAAAATAATAATATTCTTACACGAGAAAAAGTATTTTGTATTGTATTCTGTGAAATATAATGTTTATTTTGTTTTAGTGAATGGTGAGTGGCGTTATATTAGAGACTGTGCTTACCTCGGAGAAGTTGGTATACAGGGTGATGAACGATTCTGCCTTATGAGAACAGGTACATATAACATATTTGTTGAATATTGTACATGCAATAGTAAAGATGGCTGCAATTCTGCAACTCTTAAAAACCCTAGTGTTCTTTTTACATATATAGTATTTACTATTTGTATTTTTTATACAATGTAATAGTTTTTAAACATGCATATAAAATTTATCCATTAAGAGTTTTAAATAAAAGTTAACGATGTCTTTATAAAACATATATCAGAGATATGATGATTATGATTATGCTGATGCCTATGTGAATTGCAATAAATTGTTTAATTAAAGATTGCACAAAAGTAATACACACTTGTAAATGTTACTTCTACTAAGTTGTGTCTATAGGAATTTTTATTGTAGAATCTTGTGTGAACATGTGTCTTACATAATCATGCACCACAGTGAATAATTCTTTATAATTTAGTATTCATTTTTACAGTAAATCTATGTACAACATAAGTACTATCATTTTTATATACATTATGATGTTATGTTTTATAACTGGATCTTATTGTAGTTTAGAAACCTAAGACATTTTATATATATAAGATTACCATAGAAAAGAAATTATGAAGAAGACTGCAAGTTCCGTCCATTTTGATGTTTTATATAATTAAATATATAATTTTTTAATTTTGTGTTGTTATTTTATTACAATTATATGGCACCCTATTTATAAATGGTTATAGTGTTATTTGCAATGTTATCAAGACACAATACCTATATTTCAAATTATCTAAACATTGTAAAGCATAACTTTCCATTCATGTGAATGTGTTACTATTTTTTTTAAATCATGCTTACATACTATATCTGGTAAGGCAATTATTTTTTTCTTAATTTAGAAAAACATACAGCTTTTGATTCATAACATAAATGTAAGAATGAATAATTTCAGAAATTTGTGTTTTTTGTCCACTATATTATTTATTTAAAAAACAAGAAACCATTTAGGAATGGTTTAATTAATGCTACAGTTTAGGAATGGTTTAGTTAATGCTACACATGTAACTAAAATAGTATAGTTACTATGTTATGTGTGATGGATATAACGAGGGAGGAGGAGAGAACAACTTCATATCCGCTAAATTATATCAATAATACAATCAATTAGCTTTAGTGCAACTTCTTAGTGCTGACATAGTTATTTAATAGTCCACTTACACAGTATTGGAATATACTGTAACAATTTTATGCACGAACAAAGCAGCGGTCTTGATAGAGGACTAAAACCATCAATTAAAAGTCCTTTGTATTTGAGATTTTTATTAAAACAATATTAGAGACAAACATCACTCTTTGTACTTTCACATAATCTATTTTAGTGCGTGAAACAAAACTTTCAATACCTTAGTGAGATTATTATACAGTTTATATGTTGAACAATTTTAAACATCAATGCACCATTTAAAATGTAAACTTAAGTTTCATTATTAAAATTAAAGTATATTAAATTCAAAAATAGAATGTAAGAACTGAGATACTGTAAAGTAAAAGAAGGGATCTACTTGTGGAACAAGGGTATACTGATTTTGAGCAAAATTAATATAAATTATATAGAATACAGTGGTCATGTTCTGATAATAGCTGTCATACATTTGATTCATTCACCAGTGTCTATAGAATGGCAAAAGATTTTTTTGTACAAAGGAATTACTATGGAGAAATCTTCATAATATACACATTAATTCATAAATTGATCTTATAGTTAGATAAAATATATTTAAGTAGGCACTATTTTTAGAACAACTAAAGTTAACCCTTTACCAATTACCAAAAATATTTGCTGTTACTGTGCTTAAATTTTAAACCTACAAAAGAAATGTGATAACAATTTAATACTATGTTAGTAAATATTAAATTCTAATGGAAACAGTAGTAACAAAAACGTTTATATAGATAGGAATAAAGAAAATAAATACATGAGTAGTCTTGTACATAAAAAGAAAATTGCTATTGCCTAAAATGGATGTAAAACTTTTTTGTGTTATTGGTATATCCTTTGCTGAGACGGTGGGCATTAAATAATATTAACTTATGATTATTTAAAAAGAACGAGGCTCAATGGAACAAGAAGTAACGCCAGGGTCTTGCCAATAGCACCAGCTCCGTTGCAACCATCATAGTCGCAGGTTTCGCAGAAGAGGGTGACTTCGTTTGGACCGTTAGAGGCAACTGGGCAGGTGGTGGAGTAGTCTTCCTGTCGCTTCCAGGTGCAGCCACGAGAAATAACCAATTGACCGTTTACTGTAAAGATATATTAAATTATGCAAATGTTCGTAATTGGTAATTTATTAAATAATATCCCATTGATTAACGATAGGAATCATCTAAGACATATTTTCTAAAAGAAATGACCAGTAATTACCATATAAGTCAATTACCAAGTCCTGATTGGTTACTATCTAAAATTTATATCGCTTGATCAGTTATCACAAACATTCTCAGAATGTCTGAGTCTGTCTACATCATTTATTTATTTGGATAATTATCAAGTAACTGAGAAAATATTTGATATTTCCCTCAATAGTTGATTCTTCCACCTTAGATGATAATAAAACGGTGAGTCACAAGTAATTTGTATCCTTTGGTCGTAACAAGGTTGATTTGAGTAGGCGGAACAATCACGCAACTATTCATCGAACTATAGACAATTATTCTGTAACGTAAACAATTTTATAGTTTTGGATAATAGTCTAATTTATGCCTAAATAAATGCATACAGTTTGGAAACTATAATTTATTTAGAAGGACCTGCCAAGGCGATGTAGGTAGATTTAACTTGTTTTAATTAGGACGAGAATACATTCTGCAAAAGTTATTTACATATTATATATATTCTCCGTTCGGTCTTGTCTCATCAAGAGCTATTGTTCATTGATTATTGATAAGTAGGTACTGTACGATAAGGTACGTAGATGGCTATTATGGAGACGAGAGGAAACCATATTAGTTTCAAGAATATTAATTAAGCAATGACACTGAAATACAAGGAAGCGTTTTTAAAAAGACTTATTCAAAACGTAATAATAGCATGACATAATTAGACTATTACAAAGAACAATGGAATTACTAAAATAGGTAAGCACGTCCTTCATTTGTCTAAACACGTTCTTATAAGGACATATGACTAGTAGATGCAATATTTGATAATAGAGATATATATTACGCATTCGATACAAGTGAGGGTAACGACAAAGACATATTAGCGATTATAATCAACGACATCTTTAATCTTCTTGTAGATTCTTCTATTTTAATAATAAATATGAGTTGCAGTAAAGCTAAGGTGACCAAATAAAGTAAAGGTAAACCATCATAGCACTAGATACATCATGTTATAAAGTAACTGAACTCAACGGAACAAATTATGCTCCGCTAAGTAGAGGGGTCTTAAAGGTCAACTTTGCAGGGCCAGGGACCCATCGTTTTACGGTGGACTAGATCTACATACAGTGAACTATAAAAACCAAAGGCAGTTGTAATTACCGCAGTTCCAAAGGCAAGGAATTATAGCAAGACTATACAGTAGTAAAGTTTTTGAGGCAAGAATACTTACTAATTTTCTTTTGTTTTTTGCAAGCAGTCTTCGACTGTGTGAGGTAGGGGTAGGTAGCTCCAGCGTTAGCGTCGCAGTTCTCTAGCCGGGAGTAGCCGGTGTTGGTGGTGTGCCCTGGCAGGAAGGGGTCGCCACAGTCTGGATTGGTGGGGTCCAAGTCTGTTGAACAGGACCAACACCTGACAGCTTCACCTGTAATTGAAAATATAGAACTATGAAAGTATAATATATAAAATTCACGACTTAGGGAGCGTTCAAGTATTACGTCACGCAATTTTTGGAGATTATTGACACCCCCCTCCATGTAACGCGCCATAACGTTTTTCTGTACCCAATAGTAAAACGTTTCGTGACCACTTAATGACTCTTTATACCTACAAGTTACCATTGTGTGGTGTAAAGTACTGAAAAGACGAAAAAAATATTAACAATAAGGCGTAATTCAATCCCCGCCCCGCATCGTAACGTCGGTTAAATTTAAAATTATGAAAAATAATTGTAACTACATAACTTCAATCCGGTAAAAAATTGTTTTATTATCAAATGTTGTTATTGATTCAAGAGTATGAAGTCACACCACGACATATACCTAAGGTTGAGACATGAACATAAATGTATATTTGTTCTATATAATATAACTGTAGTTGAAGTTTTGTTGAGTATAGTGATTCAATTCAAAGTGAATAAACGATTCACATGTCTGGAAATTACCGTGTAGATACTAGCTATTGTAATGTTGACAGTAATTATTCTCACGTACGTCGTAGGTTTATCAATAACTACTTAACATATTATATTTCTTTTAGCACATAGTAGTTGAGGTTTAAAATGTATACCCACTCTTTGCAAATTATGACTCTTACATGTTATCTTAAAATGACTAACACATTTTTATGTAGGTGTAGGAAACGTACCTATGAGTGCAACTTAAGACCATAGATATAGTTTCGTAGTGATAATTGCCGATTAATAAAAGCTATTTTTAACATTAATGTTGAATGATCTATGTACATATCTACTAAGGTGAGAGGATTGTCTAGTAGTAGCCAAGTAATTTTGGAAACTTGCAAGCACGAACCATCATCTCGTGACTACAAGACCAATGTCTTCTATGTACTTGACCTCCTCAATAAGTTATAAAAAGTTGGGCGTGTAGATTTGGTACAATAGATACCAAGGCTCGCAACGGTGCGTGATCATGGGTCTTTTCTTTGCATTGGCCTACAATTGTCAACAATTGACAGTACAATACAAATGTACATTCATAGTTTTGTATATTTTCCTAGTTGGTTTTTTGTTTCGATTATTGTATTAATAAACCATAATATTTTTGCACCGTGATCTGCGTAGAGTTGTGATAAGAATACCTATCATTATATTCTTTAACTTCTTGTTCGCCACAGATGTGACAAATCGAATTAATGCTGAGAAAATTGTTTTATTTTTAAATATGTTTTTACCTTATAGAAAATAGCCTACAACAATTTTCCTAGTATCGATTTTGTATACATACAAATAGTTTTAGTTTGTCTATATTATTGAGGCGTTTATACAAAGTAGTTTCTCCAAAATTGGACATTACAGTCACGCGCAAATATAAACGGTAAATTTATTGTTAAAGATATGTCGTAATGTTTTGCCCTCGCCTAAACATATTCGTACTTTGGAGAGTTGACAACTTACGTCATCATTATTATTAACACCTTTAATAAAAATATCTTTAAAAATGTTTGTAGTTTGATTATATAAATATAGTCTTATACCTAATTATTAAGATACACAATTTTGCTATTAAATGCCACATTGTAATAAAATAGACAAGGTTAATGATAATAAATCATACAAAGTGGCTAATGTTATAAGTGTGTTTTCCAGTAAAACAGTTATATTTTAAATATAAGATATTTAACATTATACAATTTTCAATAGGAGTTCTAGTATAAAATTTAGTTTGAAAATTATACATATATTCCGTTGAAAGTTATGGAGCCTAAAACAAAATTTAGGTTGTCTTATATGCGGACATAAAGCAGACACATTTCTGCCATTAAATAATTTTTAATATTGTTATATCAGTACTCCATTTCCGGTAAATAAATGTAGATAATGAATATAATCATTAGCTTAGCACTTTGCCACACATGGCATAAAACATTGTGTACTAAATCTAAAAAATTGCCTAGTTATTACACTGTTACACTAAAATATGAATCTTTTTACAACATGTTCAAGAGAGGCGAATAAGTACTTTAGATTGTGTAAAAAGACTGATTTACGCTATTATTATTACACAGCTTGTTTGTTAGGAACTACCTACTGAATGGTAGTGTTTAATAAAATACATTTGTGTTATCTATTTATTGAGGAGGTTAATATAGTATTAATCTATGGCCGAACTAACGCAGGTAGCCAGAAAAACGGTGTTGCCCAATTTCTGCAAGATCAAACGTTTGGCCAATTAACAAATAGTTTGGTCATTATTTAATCAGAAGTGCCTGGAGGTTGTACGATAAAGCGTCATGTTTATTGTTTGTATTGAGGCCACTGGGTGTACTTGACGTGTTGATTGTTTGAGAGGTGCGAAAACGTTTTCAAACGACAAAATATGATCTTAGATTCTAAACAACCTCTTCTGAACACTAAAACTTCCGCCCTCTTATTTTCCTCTCTTCCCTTTCTCCACAGATTCCCAGCCGAATAAGAATGTTATCACTGTGGAAACTATAGATTTCTTGAATATTATTTGTAAATCAGTTAATAAAATGCTCCATACCTCCTTGTTCAACGGGATGTTAGCACATAACATAGTTTTATATAATAATTTGATGTGGAACGTGATAGGTATAATTATAGCTAGTTCTCATGATTATAGTATCTCAATGTCACGCATATGGTACCTTGTCCTTAGAGCGATATATTTACAAATATACAACGAACCTGTTATGACAGAAAATGTCTGCACTGCAATCATAGGTTATCGGTTAATCGTGTGTTCGAACTTCGACTGGGCAACACATTCTCGTACGGTAAAGGAAATCATACTAACAAACCCAACATATCTAATACCCAATAATCGTATCATTTTCTTCTATAAAAAATTTATGACCATAATAAGGAAAAGTAAATTCTCATGAAATATTCAATGCTCAATATTTACAATAAATTTGTTTATTCTATTTATTTCCTCGACAAATACATTAATTGCAAGTTATGTTTGACTTGCAATTAACATATACGTAAAACATAAATATTCTTCTACATTATGAAAACGGTAAAGTTTTAATTACCATCAGATTTAATGAAACTGGGTATTTTTAACACGTACCAGACCTGAAGTATCCAGAGTAGGTAGCAACATTTTTGCGTACTAGACTTTAATACCTATGCTGAGAAAACTTTTATGGCATCATTCGAAAGGGTGAATTATCACGACCAAGGGGCTTCAAGGGGGACGCGAAAATGACAATTCACGTCAACAAATTTTCATACAAAATTAGTTTACTGTTAATGCATCTTGACTAAGCCCCCAAATCGTATACATTTCTGCATAGATTTGTGTAAAAACAGTAACAGAAACAGCTAGTACGAAATGTTTCATAGTATTTGGTACTTTTACATCTGGCCGTAAACATTGGTATGAAGCCAATGTTAGTGTGTATAGAATATTTTAATATTTATGTGTAGTTTATGACTTATGACGCATATCCTATATATTTTTTGTAAATATATCGTCTTCGAAATCAGCAAAATATTCGACCCTTGCTCGAATTTCTCTTCGGATTAGCTAGCTTAGGTTACTAGCAGACAACAAAGAATATTCTGTTAAAACTAATAGAGTTGCTAAACAACAACTTCAAGTTTTCAATCAGAAAGAGTCAATAAATTTCTTCTTGGATCTAGTTGTTTTGATAAACTATAGTTAATCTATACTAATATTATAAAGATGAAAGATTTGTATGGAAGTATGTATGTAACGAATTGACACAAAAGTACTGGACCGATTTTAAAAATTGTCTCACCATTTGAATGCTCCATTATCACTGATTAATATAGGCTATTTTAATTGCAAGAAAAATAACATCCCTACTAAAACTACAATAATTGTGACCAACGTGTAAGAAAAAAGCCTATAAAATATATTTCATCGCATGTGCTGCGTAAATTATTGATGATAGAACAAAAAAAAAGTTTCACAATATTAATGAACATTCATCTACAAAAAATCTTTAAAAAATAAATGTTAGCCCGTGCGAAGCCGGGACAGGCCGCTAGTTTCTCATAAGTAGTGAACTTGTTAAACTTTTATCGATGTCAAATTCGCGCAGGAAAGCCTTTAGATGTCCACATACAACTGACCACATCCTTGTGGTTAAACTTGCAGGTGCCACCGTTTGTATGTTTTTATATCTTGATTGAGTTTTGCTATTTCAAATCTATGGTATTTAAATCATACCTTAATGTCGTCTTAGTACTTAGGTGCTTCGTGATTAGCGTCTTTTAACTAAATACATCCATGCTACATGCCTGTTGCCTTATTTATTTTGCCTTCGATTTCTAAAAATGTCATACAATTCTCACTTACGCGATAACAATTTACAGAAAGGAAATATCAAGTCGTTCGTCATTTAGAAATGACATCAAGGAATATTTAAATTACAGAATTAAATAGTTACTAAATAAACTACTAATAATATTATTTATACTGAATTATTATAATTGTGTATAACCTAATATATTTTGTTAATGACTTTTTAAATTTCGGAAAGTAATTAACATTTTTGTATTTGCGGGTAGATTGATAAATTCGCGGTTCTTAGATAGTAATTTTTGTTTAAACCTGTGCGGTGTTTGGGTAAGACTAGATAACTCGCTTGCCGCGTTCGACATATACTCCATTTTCTTTATAGGCAACTAGGTGATCAGCATTTTGTACCAGGCAGATGTCGACATGCTCTTATCACGATGTTTTCTACACCGTATGAGCAAGTGTCAATTGCACAAATAGAAAGTAAAATCCAATGGTTTAATCGCATCTTAACACTATTCTATCTTCGTACAACATCGAAATATGATGTTTTCTATACAGCCTAAATATCGATCGATCTTCAACGATAAAGTGCTTTGCTGTGCTCATTTTGACACAATAAAAGAGTTCTTTGAAAGTTCGTTTAATGAAAGAATGTGTACAATAAAATATTGCTTTCGTACGTGGTAGCACGATGGTACTGTTTGCCAATGAAATGATCACATTAAAACTTGTGTACTGTGCCAAATTTAAACATATAGTACAAATACTATTCATGTATAAACAGTAACATATTACACATTATATTGTGTAGGCTATGCAATCACAGATTAAATTCTTTTTTTTTATTAAATCGCGGAATTCATTGTTTTATCATACATTTAGAAAAAACGTTTTTTTAAGGGAAACAAGTCAGTCATTTTGGTTTAACAATATGGGAGTGTTGATTAATTAGTTTTATGATAACGTGTCATAAAATTCAACACCATTGATAAGACATTATTACCAAATTACCTATTAATTTATATATGTATATACTAGCTGCCCCCGCGAACTTCGTTTCTCCTTAATGTGATTTTACTTAGCCTACCTTTTTAGTACATACCAACATGAAACATTTTGCTATGCTACCCCAGAGACTGTTCGGTTTATCGGAATGAAAACTTTTTAGGTTTCTCTGTGATTTTTCTCTATAAAAATAAGAAAGATAAGATAAGATAAGATAAAAGATAAAGATAAGATTTTAAAAAAATAAAAAATTTGGGGTGGTCACCCTTAACATTTAGGGTTTTGGAAGATAGAGTAGCCGATTCTCAGACTATGCATAAAAAAGTTCATAAGAATTGCGAGCCGTTTCGGAGGAGTATGGGAACGAATATTGTGACACGAGAATTTTATATACTAATAATTTATAATTATTACATATGTGTGTTTTATTACAACTACATGTATGTTGTATTGTGACTTTCTGGACTGTGGTTATAATTTTAACAAGTGCATAGATAACAAAATAAATACGAAACAACCATGTCTGGGTTCTCATTAATTAGATTAAACGACATTCATTCAAAAGAGCAATTTGTCCCCTTCCGGTGTTTAAGACCCTTAATGTTATTTAATTTATCGTTATGCCACGACTTTCTCCTAATAAAGTTGACTCTATAATTGACAGTTAGAAATTGACGTATGATGTCAACACCCGCACTTTTGCCACCCTAACGAATAATAATTTATGTAGCTCGTAGAATCGTTTTGATTCGATACATAAGATATCTATAATAGGTACTCGTCTCATTCTAGTCTGTTTCAAAAAGTTATTTTCAGTCATCTGTTTTGAGATTAAAAGTAAGTTAATCGAGCAATTAAAATATGATTACTACGTACACCTGTTTGCTAGTAAGGGCATTTGAAACATATAGACCAGTCAGTCAAGACAATTAATTCATAATAATTCCAAAAGTTTTCAAATTTTGATGTAAGGTCGGGAGTAGTATTAAAACAAACTATAAAATTTTGCAACCTTCTCTGCGGTCCGGAACATTGTTAAAAATAAGTTTTGGTCGTGAAAAAAATTCCAAAAGTTCTGCAAATAGTATTGTCTTTGATTAACATAACTTTTATTCATTTAATAAAACACTATTTTGACCGGATTGAAGTTATGTATTATTATAAATTTACAACTATTTAACATAATTTTAAATTTATGTTAAATAGTTGTAAATTTATAATAATACATAACTTCAATCCGGTCAAAATAGTGTTTTATTAAGTTCTGCAAACTTGGGGAAGTTTTCGATATAATATTTCATATCACGTATAAAATTTGCAACCAACCTAAGTGTACGGAACATTTTTTGTTATTAAAAATTAATGTTTTTCTTTATTAAACTGAAGGAAAACGTTCCAAAAGTTCTGCAAATTTGACAGATATATCGAAAATAAAATAAATAACAAAAAATGTTCCGTACACTTAGGTTGGTTGCAAATTTTATACGTGATATGAAATATTATATCGATTATTTTTCCGACCCAAATATCGACCAATAGAATTGCACCATTCGACGTCACGTGGTACAACCTACATGGTATTATACTGATAATTTTTTGAAAATTTTCTCTGGTAGTTGCTTCAAGAAAAGTATTAAGTAGTTGTTTTATTCATTATGAAATTCTTATTTGTTAACTGTACATTTCGTCTCATGGTGCAATTCTATTGGCCGACATTTGGGTCGGAAAAATAATCCCCCGAATACCACACGAGCTTCAAAATTATCTGGCATTTCCCTCAAGGTTCCCTGCAAACAAATAAAGTCGTCAAGTTTGACTCCTTCATTTGTTTGCAACGAACCTATCGGGAAATACCCGATAATTTTGAAGCTCTTGTGGTATTATAAGTAAAAACTTCCCCAAGTTTGCAGAACTTTTGGAATTTTTTTCACGACCATACAGCAAAAATTAATTTAATTGCAATTTTAACAATGTTCCGGACTGCGGACAAGGTTGCAAAATGAGATTTATTGTCGTCCCAATGTACCATTCACTTGACCGAAGTTTGAAAACTTTTGGAATTATTATCAAATTTTCGATTTCGAATGTCTATAATGACTGGCCTAATAACAAATATTACTCCATTCCGTAATCTTCCTTAAACATCCCATATTTAACTATTTAAAGGCGCGGAATCTGGGCGCGGTCGTCAAATCGACACATTAAAAATAACACAATTACAGTATTGTACCATAGAGTATAATATATTTAGATGTTCTTCAAATGTAACAACCACTGAGGTTTGGCCCTCAGATGTCTGTATCTATTTTATGATGTCATTTGTTTTTTTTTTTGTAATAGGCAAGTAGGTAAGGCCTTCTGTGCCTTATACACTTTAACTATTTGGGTATAAGGCATGGCGGTTTTCTCATGATATACAGAAGTACATCCGGAGATCTATGACCTCAGGGATGAGAGTAGCCCGCTGACGCCACGAAGCCAACACTGCTCCTTAGCAAGCAACGCATCAAAGTAAGGCATCGTCATTTCACATCGTAGTACAGTGTTACTATGTGGACTAATAGTAATATTACCAAAGGTCTTAGTCACGTTACATCCGACTGTAAATTGACAACACAGTTGACCTTTCCTATTAAAATTAATGGTCTGAAAACACAAACAGAGAGGCTATTAGAATTAAAATCTACGTTAATGCTATTAATGCTGCAAGGCTGTTTTGATTATAAGTACAAAGCTATTTTATTTAAAATTATTGAATCAGAGATGAAACACAAGTTCTTATTGGGTTGATTAATTATATATATATGGCGTTATTATAGCTCTGTAATCCCACAATACGAGGTCACACCCGGAGCAGACACATTTCTGTGTAAGTTTAATTGATCAATATACGATGGTGATCGGGATTATGGGCTTACTAATCTGGGGTCGTTCAAGTATCAAGTATTACGTAAGCACCATTGGGGGGAGGGGGGGATGTCTTTGATGTTCTATTTGGCATGTTTACCCACACATTGTCTATGCTTGAAAAGAAAATGTATTCGCGGGGATGCCTACAAACATTTAATACGTTTATGTAGTATTATTTTTGAGAGCTTTGCTTACTTTTGCTCACAAGAGGGGGGGAGAAATTGTACGGCCCCTCTTTGTTTCAATAAATTTTTTCGCAGAAAATCAAACCTAGGACCAAGTTATACGCTTTATACGTTACCAATTAAGCCACAAAGTTGTAACCTCGGAATAGCGATATGTTTTTTAAATTGTGAAGATTATTAATGCTCTACGTAATGCAAAACAAATTATCATTTTTATGGTTTTATTGTTGTCAAGGATGAATTAATTTTTCAATATATTCCTCTACTCGGTTATGTAAAAAATAACGTGACACTGATTAATATTCTTGTATGATTAAGTAGGTCACAGATGCCACCTTGTCCTTATGAAGATCTCACGTAAATTAATCTAATCATACTAGCATTAAGAACTATGACTCACTGACCCG